TCCACACAAGAAGTTACGCATATTAACCAAACACCAGCCAGAGTGGTCCACACAAGTGAACGACTGAGTTTCAATGACATTCGTTCATTGATTTGTGCCACGTGTATCTTTGTAAATTAATTTAAAGGCCGAAGCGTGAATAGCTAGCTAATGTGTTGAAATCTTCTTGTATACATTTTTTGTGATGAAACAAGATGAGTGAAGGTTGACAGATAAGGGAATACTGTACAGTACACCTCACTTTACAGCAAGGTTTCACTCACTTTCGTCTGTGTTGTCACAGTTCAGTGACCCATGACTTTGAACGTTTCAAATTAATAAATCATTTCTAAAACTGGTGTTTTAATAACTATTATCCTAATTAAGGGGCCAATAGATTCAAAAATTAAAATGGTTCGATTTCACTCAAACTTTGACGAGTTGTATATGAAAAGGGTTTCATCTGGTTCAAGTCTCAGCATCGTAGCATAAATTGGAAGGGAGAAAAAATATTGAAGTAAACATCAAAAATTTTCCAAAATGGTCAAAAACGATTATCAAACACAAGTGTCAACTTAAATCATGTCTATGACTCTTGGCTATCACAATAGCATATATTAAAAAAATATATAATTATTTTTATTACAAAAAAAATTAAGTTAAAAAAAAAATTTTGATTTTTGTTTGTTTTTCTTTTTTTGATTTGTTTGTTTTTCTTTTTTCAATTTTATTTGTCTTATTTGTTTATCGGACGATTTGCATGCAACTTATACACCTGACAGCACGTAAGCCAATTTGTAAGGGTGCCAAGGGGGCCAGGAAATTGGTTGATGTCAACCTCAGCCACAGATGGCAGCACCTTAGACTTTATTTTTTTACTAAATCAGTAAAAATACTGTACTACATACAGTATTTTCAAGTAACAAACGTTCAAATTTCTCTTTCATTTTTTTTATTCAATTTACATGAAACTTACACCTTATATGTACAGGTGTATGTCTCTAAAATATAATGCCAGCTTTGTTTCCTAAGTTCATTTATTGATTTTATAATAGCAATTAGCATGACATACAGTATTTGCATAATTTTGGGGGGGAACTTTGACTATTTGTATTAGGAAAATTAAAGGTGTTTTGGAAAATAACTGGCAACAGATCCTTTATTATATGCTAATGTGACAGAAAAGTGTCATAGAATGATTATATCTGAAAGGTGTGGTTGTAAATAAACACTTGAAAATGTGTAAAATTCATTAAAAAAAATAAAAAAATTAAAAATCTCCCTTTCTATTTAGGCTACAGTACTGAAACTTGGAACAATTGCAGCCCTTTTCATATACAACTAGTAAAAAAAAATATGGGTTGACACTGAACTTTTAAAAAACTATCTATTGGCCCCTTAAACTAAACTAAATAAAACCAAAAATATACTGTAATATGATGGATATCTTCTATTTGAGAAATTATTCATATTATTGGAGGCACAACTCCAGCGCGAGTGGACTGGTCTAATCCGTGTGCACGCAACACTGCGTGTTTTGTTCGAGTTCATCGCCACAGTTCAGTGACTTACGGCTTCGAAATAATAAAATAATTAAATCAGTACTAAAATAATTATTATTTATAGCTTTTATTATTTAAAATATATAATTTGATGTAAATCGAATATTTAAAGAGAAATTTATGTTACTGGATCTGGCTTAAACACGAGCCTACTGTAAGGTGTATGCATAGACCTAGTCTGCGTTCGTACAGTATGCACCCAGTGCCCTCAGCATTGTCCGTGATTGACGTACAGTATTTATCCGCCGGTAGAAGAATAATCGTGGAATTAACCATTTTTTTATTACAGCTGTACTGTTATTCAACAAAATGTCTCAGGGGCTTACTAATAGTGCCTTATTAATGCCAAAAACGAAGCAATATTTTGCAAGAACTAGTAACAGAAAATCAACCAGCACGAGCACAGCCATACCCAGCACAGGCACAGCTGTACCCAGCACTGGTACAACAGCAGCCAGCACCAGCTCAGAAGCAGCCGAGCTGGTGCTGGTTGCAATGCAAACTTCTATAAACATCGTGTGTGTGGTGTTACGAATCCATATATTTGATTCTAACATTCATTGTGATAAATGTGCATGTCAATTATTTCCTTTCCTCAGTTATTAAATAAAACATTGTATCCAGTTACGTTCCAGCATATATACGTTTGATTTAAATGTAGCATGCTGTAGTGTGCCTGCATTGAATATTTGGTTAAGGCTATTGGATGCTCATTCCTGTGGGGAGAGACAGTGGCATCTCATGGGGGGGGATGACCATATTTGGGATGTTCCAGTAATGCGTGCAGTGTATCCTGCTAACATCACTGATTCACCCTTGTAATTATTTCTGTTCATTGATTGTACTTAATTTCTTATTCACACCTTAGCAGTGTTATAGGCATAAGTTAGTTATAATTATGTTCTTTAGTATTACTCTCTGATAGCAGAGTATCTAGAGGTTTCATGTGGGTTTTTAGTTGGTAACTTATAGACGCCACACCGTGCATGCTCGAGCAACGCAATCACGTGGGTGGAACTGGCTGGCGTGGACGTGTTGGGAGTAAAGTCTGTGGTCCCTGTTATTGTTTAGTAACATAGTTGATTTCCTGGTTAGACCATTATGTGCATACTCATCTATCCATTTAAGTTGTAATATATTGATCAGTGCTTGTATAATGATATTGTGCTGTATTCTGATGCATTAATATTTCTGGCTGCCTGTATTTCCATTTATATATTTGTATGTTCTTTGTTACCTTCAAGTATACTTACTTTAAGTATATTGATTTGTTAAATAAGCAGTGGTATTAATTACCCCTAGACACTTTCAATTTCAATTCTAAAATTTCAATTTTAATAATTTAAACTACCACCTTTAAATAGATTTCAAAAGCACGAAAGAAACACGAATGCAGCAGTGAGGTAAGAGAGTTACAATTTCTAAAAATAGACATGACTTAACCATTAAGCTGGCCTAAATTTCTTTTCAGTTTTTTAACCAGTGATTTTATTATTAACTTATATTTTTTATTTTTCAGATAAATTTCATATGATAAACATCATCTTTAACATGGCTAGTACTCCTCCAGCCAAGAGAAAAAAGAAACAGCAAAGAAGGGCGAGTGTTAAGAAATTGCCACACCAAAAGAATACAACTTTAAAAAGATCATAAAACAAATCATCGGTCTTACGATAAATATGCAGGCCCAATGTGTGTCTCGAGAGTCAAGGAACTGAAGGTCAACTTGTGAAAGCAACGGCCTTTTACAAAATTTGGTAGAGGGAATGTCACTTTTGTTACTGTAAGCTATGAACACGGCCAAATGATTGTCATGAGTGGGAAATCTTACAGTGAAGGCGTTGTAAAGTCATCACTTAGTGGGCAGCTCTGGTAAAGTGAGGCGGGACATCAGTAAGTAGAGACATTCGTAAGTCGAGGTTCCACTGTAACTGCAGAAGGCCTATTGACCCATACAAGGCAGCTCCTATTTATATCCACCAGGTAAATACTGGTGGATATAAATGATATAGTTCAGGTAAATACTGGTTTGTTTAACCAATTACAGCATAACATAATAGAAGTAGGATCCCTTGATCGTTTCAAGCTTAGGTTAGACAGGTGTATGAATGAGACCAGGGTGGATTTAAACCAGAGCTGCCTCAAATGGGCCAATAGGTCTTCTGTAGTTACCTTCATTCCTATATTTGTATTATAAAGAATCCCTAAGAATACCCAATATCAGCATTTAAAGTACTGTGCATTTATTCCCATGACAAATTTACACCGAGTTACTCAAATAGCTATTAATAATTCAATGTGTCGGGGGACAGGTAGTCAGTGTGTGCCTCAAGGTTACATTGAGGTCACCCCTACCCCCCCTGGAAGGTCAAATTACTGACCCTCCCCAGGATGCAACCCCTCAACTAGCTGACTAACTCCTGAACCTACTTTACTACTAGATGAACAGGGCATGATAGGAAATGCACCCTACCTGATGCAATGCCTACATGAGTGACGTTGAAAATCAAGGCACAGTTGGTAATCATCCAGCCACGAGTTCGAGCACAGCTGCCACAGAATCTCATGATCATGCCAAGATCCACGAGTAAGGATGCTGCATACCCTCTTTAACAAGAAGTCATAGATTTAAACTAGCTAAACACAGATGCTGAAGAAATATAAGAAAATTCACTTTCGCAAACAGAGTGGTAGACGGTTGGAACAAGTTAGGTGAGAAGGTGGTGGAGGCCAAGACCGTCAGTAGCTTCAAAGCGTTATATGACAAAGAGTGCTGGGAAGACGGGACACCACGAGCGTAGCTCTCATCCTGTAACTACACTTAGGTAATTACCCAACTGTGTCCCGACCAGGATTCGAACCCGAAATTCTCGACTGCAAGTTGAGAACGAACCAGACTGTACTACCGGGACCATCTTTACACCCAGATACACTCATACCTTGTGATAATATCACCAAATAATTTACTTGCAATAAAAAACAAAACTATGTAAAAAGGGAAAAATGAAACCAGAAAAGAAGGCAAAATAGTGTTACATGAGGCAATTCCCAGCGAGGCCCTCCACAACGCACCGGGGGGAAAAAAGTGTGACAATTCCAGGTAATACGTGGACCCAGTATTGGTCTATATTAAGCCTCTTACCCTGCAGAAAACGCTAAAATATTGCAGCCATCATCAGTGTTACTTCAGCAAAGGTTGATAACGTCCAATATCCGGACACTGGAGATGGATAATGGGCCAAAACTGGATAAATACCGAGTATTGAGTTTCGTCACACGGGAATAAGATGGCGGCCGAGCCAAGCCACCCACCTCCTGATTTCTCTCTCATATTCCGCCATTCCTCCTCCCTCCGCCAGGAACCCCACTCCCCATACACCACCACAGGCTCCAAACATCCATGAAACGCCGCCAAATGCTCCGGTGGGAGGGTGAACTGGGAAGCAATATGGCACCCACCTCGTGAATGTGCTCCTCTATCACTTTGACGATGACGGTTGCGTGAGGCCTATTTTCGTCGGCCAGCATCGTCAACATGGTGATGAGCGGCTTAGAGTTGATCGTCAGGTCCTTCAGTGACGACCGGTACTCCTCCGCCACGTCTTCCAAGTCGCTGCCCGCCATTATCCCGGGAATATCGCAAGAATCTTTCACTAGGACACGACGAGGCTTGGCATGATCACTTTCCCCCCCCTGAGAGCGGCACGAAGCACCTCCACCTAACACCGTGTCTGCCGCGCAACTACTGCCGCCCGCACTGCGCACCCTCGGTTGTACTCCCACGCCGCCACCCATTATCAACCCCCTCATCCACCTCACCCATTCATAACCCATAGGGATTTCTCTGCTCCTCACCCACCTCACGCAATAATAAACCAAGGATTTATCTGGCACTCACAAACCTCACCCAATAATAAACCAAGGATTTCTCTAGCACTCACAAACCTCACCCAATAATAAACCAAGGATTTATCTGGCACTCACAAACCTCACCCAATAATAAACCAAGGATTTATCTGGCACTCACAAACCTCACCCAATAATGAACCAGCACTGACACCTCACCCAATAATAAACCAGCACTGACAAACCTCACCCAATAATAAACCAGCACTGACAAACCTCACCCAATAATAAACCAGCACTGACAAACCTCACGCAATAATAAACCAGCACACACAAACCTCGCGCAATAATAAACCAGGTATTTCTCTGGCACTCGCAAACCTCACGCAATAATATCGAAGTTGTTTGAATCGATAATTGGAAATGCCATTCGTCTTCATTTTCAAAAACAGATTAATAAATGATTCACAGCATGGTTTTAACTCATGGCCGTTCATATTTAACTCATTTTATTCCAGTATAGTTGAGGCAGTTGATAGTGGTAAGATTTGTGATGTTGTGTATCTTGACTTTAGCAAAGCTTTTGATACAGTGCCACATGAAAGATTGATTGATTTATATATATCATAAACAACAGAGGGCCCAGGACAGAACCTTGAGGCACTCCACTTACAACATTTTCCCATTCTGACTTAACCCCATTTATACTACCTCTTTGTTTTCTTTGGTATGGCCATGCACTAATCCAACTTAATATAGCACCCCCAATACCATGAGCCTCTATCTTTTTAATCAGTCTTTCATGTGGCACTGAATCAAAAGCTTTGCTAAAGTCAAGGTACACAACATCACAAACCTTACCACTATCAACTGCCTCAACTATGCTGGAATAAAAAATTGCAAATTTGTTAAATATGAACGGCCATTTGTAAATCTATGTTGTGAATCATTTATTAATTTTTTTCAAGATGAAGACGAATTGTATTTGCAATTATCGATTTAAGTAATTTTCCCACAATAGACGTTAGACTAATTGGCCGATAGTTTGACGCAAGTGATCTATCTCCTTTCTTAAATATTGGTACCACATTAGCAACCTTCCATGACTGCATGGCACTCTGCATGACTCTATTGATATATTAAATATGGTAGACAGTGGCTCGCAAAGCCTTTCTTTGCATTCTTTAAGCACCCTGGCAAACACTTCATCCGGCCCTGGGGATTTGTTTGTTTTGAGTTTTACTATTTGTTTAATTACAGCCTCCCTGGTAACTGCTAAACTAGTCAACCTGTCCTCGTCCCCACCCACATAGACTTGTTCGGCTGAAGGCATATTGTTAAGTTCCTCTTTAGTAAATACAGAGGTAAAATATTTAAAAAAAAATACTACTCATCTCTTCGTCATTATCCGTTATCTGACCTGTCTCAGTTTTAAATGGACCTATCCTTTCCCTAATCTTTGTTCTATATAAATGAAAAAACTTTAGGATTTGTCCTTGCTTGGCCTATGCGAACTTCATAGTTTCTTTTTGCCTTCCTTATCTCTTTTTTAACATTTCTAACCAGTTGTACGAATTCCTGTTCTAAACTGACTTCCCTATTCTTAATCCTTTTGTACCACGCTCTTTTTTTACCTATAATTGTTTGTTGCCGCCGAAGGCGGCTAGTTTATTGTGCACCCCATACTCATCCTGTGAGCGGTAGCGCAAAAGCATTACAGAGGGCACAAAAGGTCTTTATCAGACCTCATCTTAGAGGTTCTTCAGATACTTTGTTGTCCATTTTGGGTCATTAGTATTCGATCTATTCAATTTGTATGGTATACTACGTTCCTGTGCTTTACTTAGAATATTTTTAAATAAGTTATATTTTGAATCCACATCGAAATCCCTTTTTACATCACCTATTGCTGGGTTCATGTCTCACTCCAAGACCGCCCCCCCCCCCCATGTGGTGGTTAATGAAGACAAAACTAAGTTTGAATGTAGAAGTCGGAGGCCCATTATATTGAAAATAAATGGTAAAAATATAGAGTTAATAAATATAAATATTTAGGCACATACGTTGGATATACCCATGACAGTTTGGAAGCTGAGATGAACAGACTGTTGGGTCAATGTCGGAAGAGATTACAACCTCTGAAGGCCTTGGCATGCTGTGGAAAGGGAGTGGGAGTCCCTGTGCTACGAATGATATACTTGAGTACTGTAAGATCCCTTATTGATTATGCTGCATCTGTCATTTTTTGTTTTGGTAAAGGTAGGATGGGCAAGTTGGAGAAGGTACAAAATGAAGCCATGAGAATTATCTTAGGATGCCCAACAAATGCTATGATTGAGATAATGAGGATGGAGTTGAATCTGCAGAGTATTGTGGATAGAATTTCAGAGATAAATGTAGCCTCTGCCATTAGGTTAATGAGAGGTGGGAGAGCTAATGAATTGGTCCTCTCAGGACAAAAGGTGGGGAGTAATGAACAATAGATCCCGCGACTTGGTCCACGGGAGACATCTCCCGTCACGCAGGGTGCAGTCGCACCTCCACAGATCTCCAGTATCATCTATTGATACTGGTAATGGCTCAAAAGGGCCACTACTTACGAGCTATTCATGCCTGTGTCACCTTTTGGGTGGCTTAATCTTCATCAATCACCATTTGGATTGACGGCAGACATCTCCCGTCACGCAGAGTGCAGTCGTATCTCCATAGATCTTCAGTATCATCTATTGATACTGGAAATGCCTCAAAAGGGCCACCACTTACGGGCTATTCATGCCCGTGCCACCTTTTGGGTGGCTTAATCTCCATCAATCAATCAATCAATCGAACAATGTATCACATTCATCGGACGACGGGGGAGACATCTCCCGCCAACACATCACAAGGCGCAGTGTGGTCACAATGCGATCCAAACGTCTTAAGGTCAGAGCTACTCCACTTGACGGTCATGCTATCGGGAGAAGCAATACTTTAAAGGTCCTGAAGGACGTTACTGGCCTCGAACCCGCTGACATTAGTCAGAAAGGTGAAGATATCGTGCTCTTCTTTTCATGTGAAGAGGAGCTAGAAAAACTCCTCACTAACAATGCCATTCTTCACAAAGAGCACTACCTACATCCTCACTTCCCACGTCAGTTCCTGGCCGGAAGAACTGTTTTTACCAGCAGGACCAGCCAGTGGATCGCTGAGCGACCTCAACATCATATCATGGACAATATCGAGGACGAAAATCCAAACCTGTCGGTATTCAACCTAGAGTTCTGCAACACCGACAAAACATCAATGAAGATTACGTTCACCACCATAGCTGCGGCCACCCAGGCTGCCACACAAGGATTCTACTGCTTCGGCCTAAAAATACCATCCCACCAAATAAAAAAGGAACGATACCATGAGATCCAGCAGTGCTTTAAGTGCTACGAGCTCTCCCACCCGACCAAGTGTCAGCACCCTGTCCAGAGGTGCAGCCTATGCGCACTGGACCATCACTACTCCATATGCAAGGCAACAGTCCATCGCTGCTTGCTCTGTGATGGCAATCACCCTGCAATTTCCTACCGCTGCCCTCGCAGACAGGAAAGCATCAAGGCCCAGATTGAAGCCAAGAGAAACAACCCTTCTACCTCCTCGACCAGAGCCCCAAGCGTTCAACCCACCACCTTAGCTCTCACTAGTCGACCAGAAGACTTTCCAGTCTTACCAACATGTGGCTCCTCCCAGCAGGCGACACAGCCTTCTCATTGGGGGCCCCAAGGTCCCACAGGCTCCTTCACAGCCCTCTGCATCACGTGCTGGCATTATCCCTAGTCTTATTAGACTTGCGGAAAGGCTAGCAGGACCAGACAACCAGTGCTTTGTCAGTGAACTAAACGCATTATACATAGACAATGGCCTGGCCCCCATCATAGCCACTAGCGTAAATCTCACTGCCTCCTCTACCACTCCGGAGACTACCACCAGGACGACCTGGTGGTCAACTTCAACACCGACTCCAGAACCGCTCATGACCCGGGCGACACAGAGGTAATTCCCTCTCCAGCTCCCAGCACTCCTACCATCACTATCTCAGCAGCAGCGCTAGCAGACGTACTGTCTACAAACGATAACAGCACCACCAGCGCAACCGAAATAGCTACAATTACCACCAATCAACGACACCTAAGCCTACCTAAGGCTGCGAGGCGAAAGACAAAAACGCCCACTACGGAGGTTACGGACTCCTCAGACGAGGAAATCATAGTAGGAGCTCCACCACCGCATCACAAGTACGACACCTACACGGTTCAAGACTTCCTCATGGAGGCCACGTCACCAAACTCCAACGACAGCACTGCTCAGCCAAGTCGCAGGCAAAGAAAAAACGGAAAACCTAGAGGTCTACACTAACCCCACCAGCTCCATAACTGGTATAGACAGCCTTCCAGGCTGAAAACCATCATGAAGACCCCCATCCATCACCAGATCTCTAGTATCAGCCACTAATACAGATAACGGCTCCAAAGAGCCTCCACTTACGGGCTCACCATAGCCCGTGCTACTGGAACTTATTGTTCTGAGTAGCGAATCTTAAACAACAACAGAACAATGTATGATAAAGACGAGAGCATATACGAGTATCTTATGCTCTAATGTTATAAAGTATAATGTTATTGGAGAATGTATTGCTCTGCCTAAGACACAATTCACACCACCATGGGAGGATTGTAATGTAGATGTAGTAATTACTCCCTTGCAAAAGAAAAAAGTATGTACGAGATGGGAGAGCTGAGGGCAACTTATGATTGTATAATTAGAAAATTCCCTACAGAAAACACTCTACATGCATTTTGTGATGGGTCAGTAGCTAGGGATGGGAAGGCAGGATGTGGAGTCTTGATCAGGGAGCACACTGACATCGGCACTGTAGATACTATTATATAGCCGCCGCTTAACTGACAATGTCTCTTCAACTCAGGCTGAACTCCAAGGAGTATTAGCAGGATTACAGGAAGTAATCAAATGTGGTAAAAATGCCTGCTTCTTTATTGACAGTAGAGGAGCGTTAGAGTCTTTAAATAGCAGACGTCCAGTTTATCAGAATATTGTGATAGAGTGTAGAGAGAATGTTAAGAAATTAGAAAAAAATGGGTATAAAGTAAGATTCATGTGGATCCCTTCACTTGTGGGAATACTGTTGAATGAGATAGTTGATGAGATAGCGAAGAGAGCCACGGAAAAAAATCTTGTTGATGTTGTATGTCAGATAACCTTGAAACAAATAAAAACAAGAATCAAGATGATCCAAGAGGGTGAAGAAATAGTAGAGAATGGCAATGGTGGAGAGTAGTAATACACTTAAGAATTATTTAATAATAAATAAAAATGCTGATTTTATTGGATGATCCATAGATCATGCAAGAGGAGCCACACATCTATGGATCATCCAATAAAATCAGCAGACTTCTAGATGTTACTACTGCTCGGCTTAGACTCGGTTACAAGTATCTCTGGGAATTCTCATTATCTGCTGATGTAGACCTGACCAAATGTAAACTGTGTCAACAAAATTATTCGCACACCCTCCGTCACTATGTGATGGAGTGCAAAAAGATACGTGAATATAGAGACAATTCTATAACCAATGTTCCAGCGATGTGTCAATATTTCATTCAAAATGATCTGCTACCAGAAATTTTAGCCAAATATCCCCAGTTTGCTAACTGTAGGTAGTAACTAAGCGATTGTAACCTATCCACCGCTGCCCACTGGATGGGGGGCGGTGTGCAGGACAAACATATCAATTTTGACACTAGCTCTCCACATATGTCAGTTGCTTAATTTAGAACCTGTACTTGAGGTCGATCTCGAACCCATTGTTGATGTGACGACTTATATTGAATATTGTAACTAGCTCATCAAGATTGTAACTTGCTTAGCTAAATGAATTGTGGGGTTCAGTCCCTGAGCCCATTATGCGCCTCTGTAACCCTTTCCACTACCGCCCACAAGATGGGTATGGGGTGCATAATAAATGAACTAAACTAACCTATGGTAAAGGAAAGTCTACTTGGAAGGATTCAATTTACATGAGATTAAGATTAGGATACAAATATATCTGGCAATACGGTGTTGATGTCGGTGAAAAAGATAAGGAGTGTAAATTATGTAGTATGCCGCACGCCCACACCTTAGAACATTATGTATTAGTGTGTCAACTTATTGATAACTATAGAAATAATGAAATAAGTAGTGTACCACATCAAATTGTTTGGATGTGTGATAATGGTATGATACAGTATACTTAGGAGCTACAAAAATTTTGCCACAAGAGTGTAACAATTATATGCTGTACTTACTATATTAACCTGCAATGTTAAATGGGATTCTTGTACTGTATTGTGATTTGTGTATTTGTACTCACTGAATTTGTGCGCCCCTTGAGGGACTTGAAGTGGATAGGGGTAGTAGCCTAAACTACTCTATCCCTTTGAGATGTATTTTTTTCCTTGTCTCAATAAACTTACTTGAACTTGGTGCTACATAGCCTTCCCAGCTTGGTGCCTTCTTTTAATAATTACATTACATCTGCAATGGTGGATGTGATTCCATAAGAACAATTATGAACAGTAGCACTTATAATACTTCCTTGTGGAATTCATTGCTGTTAAGCAGATAATAAAGTGGGTCACTTTAAAAAAAAATCTGAAAATGCAGTGTCAAAGGCTTTCTCAAGGTAAAAATGTATGGTTATTACAGATTCACCTAAAGTGAAATTATTCTGATTATAATCGTCCATAGCCTGGCGGCTGCTCCAAGCAATAGCCTGGTGGCCTCGGGCCGGGCTTGGGGAAAAGAACTCTCAGAACCGCCATCAAGCAGATCAAACAAGTTATATGATTTAGGAAACAAGATCACTTCCCTCTAACCTCATTTTTCATTAATTTGCCTCATTAATCATGCAAATGTTACATGACCCAGTAACTTAAACATTTTTCTTGTTCTGTATCATCATACATAAATTTAATAGGTTTCAAGTAATAATCATAGTGTCCTTGTGTTGTGCACACACTGATTTGGTGAAGGGGGGGGGGGGGGGGGGGGGGCGTTGAATACCTGGATACATCGTCTGTTCGAGACCTCAAAATTCATCATTGTTGTATTCAAAATTAATACCGTTTATTATGGGATTAGGAGGGCCAGTAACAGGGTCTCCTGATAACATTCACTTATCACAAATACATTTTGAGCTTCATATAATTAAGGAAATTACCACCAAGTTTAGTACAAATATTCACTTTTTATTTTCCTAGTTTAATCAATATATCTGTATTAATTTCCACCATATTGAAAATTCAAAGAACATTACTGGTCTGGAAAGTATGGAAATAATTCCTTTTGGTATTGCATTAAGAGCATCCAAAATCATTTTTTTAACACTAATGTAAGAAACAACATTCAGCATCTGACTGAAAAACAACAAATCAGGATAACACATTAATATTAATTTTGTTCTTAAATGACCATTTTAATGGAAATGTAAAATATAAATTAAAGGTAACATGGAATAATTGAGTTAAATACAGTACTGTAGACGAACATCGATGGAGTGCAGTTTCTGAAGAAGAGCCATGAACCACACTATATAATTGTGCAGCTACAGTAGCAAAACATTACTGTAAATACCTAAAATTTGTATACCTGTATATGCAAGTATATAATATATAATTTAATATATATATTATATAATGAAATTCTTAGTAACCACAAAGACAAACTGAAGCCACCTTGAAAATATGACAAATCTAAAATATTAAACTTGTCATGGGCCACTTTCTGTTTTACGCTATCTAAGATGGAATTTCCATGGATTCCATAGTAGTCAACCATCCTATTTTGTTGTCATCCAGTGGCAAAGCAGTACAAAGTGGTTAACCATTACATGTAGGAGTAAACATTTAGTGTTACCTCTATTCAATGCCGATATCAAACTCAAAACTATTCTGTAGTTAAATATTTATTTCTATTTTCCTTACAAGGCCTACTGAACCTATTCCTCTCCAGAGAAAAATGTGAAGGTTGAAAGACTGATCCTTCACCATTAAAATATATACAGTATTTTATATAATATATATATACAATATATAATATAATATATAATATAATATATATTAATATATATTATATATATTATATATATATATATATATATATATTGCACAAACAATTGTAACAAAATATTAGAAGGTACCTGAAGAACATTAGCTAATTCTAACTTCCATATTCTAAATTTCAATTAATGAATTGTTAAAACATATAACTCAAAGATAGGGTTAAGTAGTAGAGTATGTTAAAAAATGTATAAAAAGGTTAATTTGGCATGTACTGATTATGCTGAAGTCAATGCAACAAAATTAATACAGTACTGTATATCAAGCCTAATTTCAACTAAATCATACTACTGTCAACTTCTCTACACTCAGGATCATCTATCAATTCAAGATTGCTTATAGGATCCTCTTCACCTGTGTGACTAGTATCGATGTCTTCTACCGATAATGGGTCACTCACACAGTCATCCTCATTTAGATGAGCCTCTTCTGCTTCATCAGTCGACACAACATCGCTCACATTTAAGCTGCATCCTGTAGCAAGCGGGTCACCATCCTCAGAGTGTTCCATCTTCAAGCTTCTGTTATCTTCATCTTCAGCTAGCTTCTCCGATATAAACACTCGCTTCATTGTGAGCTTCTTGCTAGTCTTGCAAACATATTTGAGCATTCTCGACGGCTTCTTACAAAATACAGGATCACATTTCTTAACCCTTTTATCTTCCTCTTCAAAGAAAACTGCTGTACCCATTGTGTGTTCATAGTCACCCGTGAACACAAAATTTTCAACCTGCAAAATGGGGTGTTCAGAGTCTATGGACAGTATCTTGAACTTATCAAAAGAATCTTGTGCAAAAATCTCTGAGTCAATGACCCCATGTAACTCTACCATGACTAGGGTTTCCTCTTCTTCATATTCACTGTCAGACTCCGCCATATTAAGACTTCTTGGCTTTCAAGTTTTGAAAATTAGTTTTTCCAAGGTAAGCACCTATGATTGAAATTCTTCTACAGTAGTCTGCAGAAAACAGCCACCAGACTACTCTGAAGCACACACTAATGAAGCAAATCTAACACTTCTTCAATTAGCCACATATTAAAATAATAAGTCCAATTTATGCTACACAAATAGATTTCCCATTCCATATTATTTTACATTTCCAAAATTGCCAAATTTGGCTCTTCATTGGAATCAGTGTCCATAGCCTCTTCCTCCCTGCCGGTAAAAGACTGAAGTTTTTGGTTGATACGTTCTAGTTCCTGAGACTTTACTGAACAATAATTGAGGTAGACAATTTTCAGACCCATGATCACTGCTAGTTTCTGGCGTAGATTGTAGCGAGCCGAGTGTTTTTTGTGTTTGATGGCCGTTTTAAACTGAACCTCCAGATCTTGCACCTATTAAAAAAAATTTACTGTTTATAGGTACTGTATTTGAATAGTTAAATCATTTTAAAACTTCCATATCTAGCAACTAAAAGTGTTTTAAATAGCTAATTGTAGTTCTGAAGACAATGAACTGAAAAAGTTTGGAATATTACCTGTAGTTGTTTAGTTAGTGTGTGTGTGTGTGTGTGTGTGTGTGTGTATGAGATCACACAATACATAAATATATATTAGACACACACACAATACATAAATACAAACTAGAATAAAGATAACTGTAAAAGGCCTATTGGCCAATACAATATAGCTCATGTATTTTCACCAAAAATCATTCCTATATACAGTATATCTAGACTATGCTCAAAACAATCCAGTTATCCTAGGTCTTATGTTCCAAGATGCAGTAATTTCTTCCATATACTGTAGATCTAACATCCTTTTTCTAAACCAAGGTCTTTCCTGAATCTAAATTTATTAAGGCTTTTACTTCAGCCTTCAGCTTTTTCTGAATTTGGAAATCATTCACACTTTTTTTTTTTTTTTGCAAAAAATTATTGTGAAACAAGCCAAGAGAAACAGTATACATAAACCAAGCATTTTTAGTGGAAGCCTATCCAGGTAGTTTTGCAATGATCTTGGCTTAGTAGCCTTCCCAACAATTGTCATTTTAAGTGCATTACCAAACCATAGCAAAAACCTATTCTTTATGAACTTTAGTGTCTGGAATAGTTTTCACTAATCTACTTGTCTGTCTGATAGTGATCCTCTCCAATAATGTTTCAACTGTATTGTAAACCTGAAAATAATTCAACTCCTTGGTCATCACACCATACAGTTATCTTCAGTGACTCCAAGGCTGCCACATCAACTCGTCCTCCTGTTTAGATAGTACCTATTATGACGGTCGTCAATAGTCTCGAATTCGTATGTACTTAGTTTTTAGACGGTAGTACTGCATACTGACTAGTAAGGAATTTTTTTAAATTAAATGAAGCTAAAAAAACAAACTTAAATAGTCCTAGGCCTAGTATAGTACACATATGCACTATATTAAACCTCTTCTCCTCAATACTTTAGTAGGTGCAGTTTGCCTGATGGGTTTGTCCTCCCGATGACTGCACCGGTACAGATGTTGGGAGACGCGTTTATGTTGAGGATGATACGTTTCAAAAATGCTTGTTGCGTTGTGCTGTAGATAGAGGAGCGGCGACTAAAACAGAGGTGTACGTTAGAGGGAGACTTGCCGCTCCGTAGGGCAGTATGTTGTGTTTATGGTGTAAGCTGATCATGGTGTTGTGACAAGGCATTTGTTTTCAGTGTTTAAATGTTGGTGGCGCCAGGTATAAATGTGGCATGGGGTCAAATGTGACATTAAACCTCAGATATATGTATTAAGCTTAGTAAAGTTAGGTTTGTTTAGTTTAGTTTGTCAAAGCAACAAGTAAAAATTTGTTTTCCAGTTTGTCTAATAAACAGTTCAGATTCCTACTGTCTAATTTTGTTGTACATCAGTATATAAACTATGGTCCACATCGTTACTATAAGTACTGTACTACCAAAACAGGAGGATGGGCTGGCCACATCAGCACTCGCCCTCCTCAAATATACAATGGCTCCTGTTAAAATTGAGCAGCCACCTTGAACTGACTTTGAAGTCTTTAATGCCCATATTATGTAACATCCTTTCCACTAGATTGAATTTGCTAGCCCCAATAGGTACCCTAAATATGCATATTGCACGATACTGCAAAACCAAACAGCACTGTCTAGCTACTGGTATGCAGTGCAATCTCGACTTGGTGAACTGTAAGAGATCAAGCTCGATTGGCTCCAGGCAGAAATACTGTACCTTCACGAGTCTTATTTTTACAAGACAAGAAAAATACATTGCTATGCCTGTTTCTCTTACCATTTCATTCATTATAAAGTTACCTTTAAAATATGTAGTATCATGCATGGTACATGCATATTTTAATGAATATAGTAGAAGTATATAAATGAGTAAAGTAAAAATGGTGATGGGTAAACCAAGCCAAGAACTGACCTGAGTATACAGAGTACTGATGTGTCTGTTGGCAAGGTTCAGCTTAAAGCGTGTCTCTGCTTGCCGTCGCTTTATGGACTCTAGATCTTCACCAGGCTCTTCCTTTGACATTGTACACTTCACAGTTCCTGCAAGGACCACTTATGATAAAATTCAAGTTTAAAGTTATTTAAGTAGAGCAAATTATATATGTATATGCTAACAATGACAATCCAGGAATCTGTACAAAAGCTTTAACTAATGAAACTCAATTAAGAAGTGGTCAAAACTTTAAACCCAAATTATTAATAGGGTTCATAATATGTATCCAGTACAGTGAGCATTAGAAATATTGCCGGAACAACAGTGAACATCTCCTTGGAGAAAATGATCTAGTTCTCTTTTGGAGTGTCTGACCAACCGGGCTGTGGTGGATATGTGGGCCTGCGGACCACTCCACGCAACAGCCTAGTGGACCAAACTCTCACAAGTTAAGCCTGGCCACGGGCCGGGCTTAGGGAGTAGAAGAAATGCACGAGGAATGTTGCTCGATCCACAGGTCTCTGGCAAACCCCTAGGGACGACTAGCTACCATAATGCACTTGCAGGTTTACCTAATGATCAATTACTCTATGGACAAATAATTTATTGTACATTACTGGTACTTCACATTAATATATCTTGAGAATAATGCATAGGTTAATAATTTGTGTTGCTAACCTTATGACAAGACAACAGTAACAACTTATTATTATCCCTCAAGCACAGTTGGGTGGGCACAGTCACTTGGCAAATGGAATTTAATGTTATGGAATGTTATGGAATGCCATGTTATGGAATGTGGAATAGGAGAACATAGACCCCACACAACCTATATATTATGTGAGAAATCTTTAAAGAATTCTGATAAAGAAAGATCTAGGGGTGGTTCTAGATAGAAAACTATCACCCGAGGACCACAAAGAATATTGTGCGAGGAGCCTATGCCACGCTTTCTAGCTTCAGAATTGCTTTTAAATACGTACATGGATGACAATATACTAAAGAAATTGTTCACGACTTTTGTTAGGCCAAAGCTAGAATATGCAGCAGTTGTGTGGTGCCCGTATCTTAAGAAGCACATCAACAAACTGGAAAAGGTACAAAGACATGCTACCAAGTGGCTCCCAGAACTGAAGGGCAAGAGCTACGAGGAGAGGTTAGAGGCATTAAATATGCCAAAACTAGAAGACAGAAGAAAAAGAGGCGATATGATCACTACATACAAAACAGTAACAGGAATTGATAAAATCGATAGGGAAGATTTCCCGAGACCTGGAACTTTAAGAACAAGAGGTCATAGATTTAAACTAGCTAAACACAGATGCCGAAGAAATATAAGAAAATTCACTTTCACAGAGTGGTAGACGGTTGGAACAAGTTAGGTGAGTAGGTGGAGGAGACCAAGACCGTCAGTAGTTTCAAAGCGTTATATGACAGAGTGCTGGGAAGACGGGACACCATGAGCGTAGCTCTCATCCTGTAACTATACTTAGGTAATTAGTCCCATTATTATGTAACCAGCTCCAATACCACATTAAAGAAATCCAACAAGAATTTATTTATAATGCCATTTTTATTTTTATAGACGTACACGACTGAGGAAGTGAACATTCTAGAACCTAACAATTGTATTTAAAAATTATTTCTGGTAAAAAAATATGAAAATTAATGTACCATCTCTAAACAGGACTTGGTCGTCAGTTGTAAAACATTACTGTAATTTTTTCTTTTTCAAGACTTAACCACTAGTAGTTATAATTATTGATGGTAAATAATGTATAGAATATGTTAATGTTAATAGAAATACAATGTATGGCAAAAGTGGTTTTTATTTAGTTGAACAAGATTCCTTGTAGAGCGATTGCTGGTTATGATATACCCCACACGAGTACTGTACTTGTGTCCTGGTATTTCAGTTACTTGCTACTGAAGTAGCTACTTCAAGTGGAGTAGTACTTCACTTGAAGTAGCAAGTTACTATTACCTAGAAAGAAAAAACAAGATCAATTTAACGCAATCAGCATTACAGTGGTTTTGTACTCGACTCGCATATGAGGAGCCCAGGTTCGATCCCGGGGCAAGGCAGAAATAGTTAAGGCATGTTTCCTTTCACCTGATGTTCCTGTTCACCTAGCAGTAAATAAGTATCCAGGAGGAAGAACTTTTGGGAGGCTGCATCCTTGGGTCGGGGGCTTGACCTTCAGAGGGACCCCATGGCAGCCCCGAGTGTATGTACTGTGAACAAGAGCCGAGACATACTCTCAAACACTATATTCTGCCCGAAACGCTGCACGTACTAGTGGCTTTACAAGATTGTAATTACTATGCTATGTATCCTCACAATCCCAATGTACCTTCTTGTATATATATAAATAAATAATATAAATAAATATCTTATTGTCCTGCTACCAGTGACTTCAGACAAAATAGTATGAGGTACTTGAACTAGTACTTGGAGCTCTGTAATTACTTCATACACTTGGAATATTGGAAGATATTCTTGTGCTGTACCAAGAGTTTGCTTATTGGGGGCTAATAGATCTGCCTTACATTTCTTGTTCTCTTCCGATTCCACTTCCATGTATGACTAACCATCCTGCGAGATGTGGGACATTAAACGAACTTATGAAACCTTACACAGTGTAGATTAAAAACTAGCTACATAGAACAGGGTCTAGCAGATTGCTGTGTATACCTAAGCTTGTTAATAATAATAATAATAATAAAAAAGTATAACCACACCTAAGCAAAGTGAACTAAAATGTTTTATATAGTGTGGCCGAGGTGCATGGCGCCTTAACTTTAATACCAGCACACCTTTAGGTTGGTTGTGGTTGCAACCTCACACTCCAAGGACAACCTTCACACACACACTACACCAACACCTTCATGGTCAACCCTATTACTCATCAGCAACCCTTAGCTCCTGCACGACACACAACCTCTTCAAATGTTCAACATGGCCTCTCAAACACTTCTCCAGCATCCAGCCCACAAAACGCCGTCACCACCTCACCACAGGAGACACGCGACTCAAGACACACTACTTCCTCCGGGCGAGACTCTCCACACTGTGATGTTCACCTCGGGGATGAGGAGAACAAGATGGGAATCTCGTCCTTATCAACACAGGTGATGAACATTTCGGGAGATGTTAGACAAGAGAGGAATATCAGCCTCAGTGTGACGGGTGCAAGTGTGACGCGTCTGGCCGATGGCAGTGCCTCTCGTGGTCTAAAGTGCAACTATGTTTGTAAAAAATGTATTTAGGGGACACTTATATAGTATTAATAATTTACTTGAAACAGTACAGTGGCTTCGTGTATTTATTTATTTATATACAAGAATGAACATTGGGTGGTGATCTTACATTCCTGCAAAGCCATCCACCCATAGCGTTTCGGATAGAAACAAATTTTCAATTATGTTTGCGACTCATACTCACATACCCGGAGGAAAATTAGTAATAGAGTAGATGGTAAATTCCTTAGTGCTCTCATTGACTGTATGCTCCACAAAGAAGATGAATGCAACGTTCCCTTTACTGAGTTTGAATTATTTTCGGCCCTAGACAAGTAAAGCCACATCCCCCTGTGGCGATGGTATCTCTTATGGTATATTGCGTTTTCTTCCTCTAGTACGAGGAAATCTTCTTGAGCTGTATAATATCAGCTACATTACTGGAGAACTTCTTATCTTATGAACCAACAGTGTAATCATTCCAATTCCCAAGCCAAATTAAGAGAATACTTTCCGCCCAATTTCCCTTACTAGCTGCATCTGCAAAACATGGGAGAGAATGGTCCTAAACCGTCTCCTCCATAGAATAAGAACCATGCTACCCCACCAGATATATGGCTTCATGCATGGAAGGAGTGTGCATCATTGCATCACCACCTTTCTTACCCTACACACTGAAAAGTCATATACCACCTTCCTAAATCTCAAGTCTACCTTTAATATTGCAAACCGACATGTTATCTTGAGTGAACTTGCGAGAATGAATATTGGTGATCGGTTTCTTTTATCTTTAGTGGATTATGCTGCACCTCTGCTTGCTTTGATGCCTGAAAGAAAGCTTGGAGGGCTTAACAAATTGCAGTACGAAGCCTTGAGGTTAATCATTTGTGGTGCCCTCGTACCACAAATATACTTAACATGAGAAAGGAACTTAATATTCCGAATGTTATTGCTCGTGTTACTGAAATTAACTATCAAATTGGTATAAAAATGCTTAGGCTAGCTCATCCTAACCCTTGCACAGAAGCTCTCCAAAATTTCTTTATTGAAGGTTAACATTGTTCCAGATGGATAACTAAAACTGGAACTGAGCTCAGAATGTATCAGATTTATAATTTGTACCAAGAGACAAGAACGGCACTTTCCTACACCGTGGGAGATTACACCCTTTTTTTTTAACCCTTTCGTATTTTAATCCGTCCCATTCCACCCAAGAAGCAAATTAGAGATCAGCCCAAGCTTCGTCTTGAGGCAAAGCTCAACGCCTTAAGAAATATTGCTGCTTTGTCCACGATGATGATGAAGATTAAGCCACCCAAAAGGTGGCACGGGTATGAATAGCCCGTAAGTGGTGGCCCTTTTGAGCCATTACCAGTATCAAGAGATGATACTGGAGATCTGTGGAGGTGCGACTGCACCCTGCGTGACGGGAGATGTCTCCCGTCTGCTCTGTCCACAGAACATTCTCTCTTAAATCATATTCACTGATGGTTCCCTGCACCGCACCACGGGTGCAGCTAGAAGTGCAGTTATCCTGACTTCTTGTCATAGATTCAGCTACTCGGAACAAGTTCCAAGTAGCACGGGCTATGGTGAGCCCGTAACTTACCTGGCACAGGAGCGAGGCAAGTAGCACGGGCTATGGTGAGCCAGCCCGTAGTGGACTTACCTGGCACAGGAGCGGGGCAAGTAGCACGGGCTATGATGAGCCCGTAGTGGACTTACTTGGCACAGGAGCGGTGCTCGTTTTGTTTGTCCTGACTGATTGATTGATGAAGATTAAGCCACTCAAAAGGTGGCAGGGGCATGAATAGCCCGTGAGTGGAGGCCCTTTTGAGCCATTACCAGTATCAATAGATGATACTGGAGATCTGTGGAGGTGCGACTGTACCCTGCGTGACGGGAGATGTCTCCCTGTTGTCTTGTCAAGTCTTCAAACTTGATACATTAATTGTAAGTGACTCTTTATCATCCTTAATGGGATGAAATAAAGCACCTATGGGTGCTTGCCTTGTGGTCCTTCACCGTGATATTATCAAGTTTAAGACTGGTCTAGAACGTTCCTGGCAATCTTAGATATTAGACTCTACCCTGTGAAATATTGTTCCATTATTTTAATAGTTGTATTTCAGGTAAATTATCTTTATCAGAACTTAATTAATCGAGCACTGTAACCGGTAAATAATAAATGAGACGGTATGTCACTCGCACCCTAAAATTCCAATCCATGTTTTGCCTTTTTTATGATGATTTTCGTAGAATGATTCGATATTTGTGTATTACTAATGTATAAGTAAGTGTGTTTTTAATTGCTATGTATATTGTATATATGTATTTTTTTGTATTTTGTTGTGTTTCCGTGAAATAAGTTAGTGTTAGTGTGCAGACGATATCGACGGGAGGTGTGCGAGTGGTGGCGACTCTTCTCTCTCTCTCTCTCCAACACTGCTCACTCACCCGCAACACTGCTCATACACCTGCACAATGGCCCAGCACACCTGCAACACCCTGCTGTGGCTGGTGGCCCTGGCACTAGTGATGCATCTGGCTGGGGCCATGAATGCTAAGGGCTGTACGCCCCTAGACTCGTGGACCTTCGATAAGGTAACCTTTCACACCTTTATATAATAATAATTTATTTAGGAATTTATTTATAATTTATATCTCCAGTTTTCGCAATTTACTCAACAAATCAGCATACCTGTGGACATATAATATATTTTTAGACAAGATAAATACCGAGGGAGGTGATGCAAGTCTGTCTCTATTATCAGGACAAGTCGCCCCCTTTACCTGAATTTACCTAAGAGCTATTAAAATAATAAAATAAATAAATGTTTATTTAGGTAAGGTACATACATAAAGAGATTTGACAAAGTTTGTTGGATTAATAGATAGAGCTAGTACATACAATGCCTAAAGCCACTATTACGCAGAGCGTTTCGGGCAGGAAAAACATTAATGACTAAAGCTTAATACTAATGGGTAAAAAGAATAAAATGTGTTGAAAACAAATAAAAATAGAGGTAAAAGAGGGGGGAACATGGCTGAAAAAGCAGCACAAATACAATTACAAATTATTACAGAGAATTACATTCAAACAGCGTTGTTTTGAAAAAAAAAAAAAAAAAACATGGGTTGACAACAGAGGGGTAAGGTAGGTTACAGGGAATTTATTAGGTAGTGCTTCGTTTTTATCTTAAACTGGTTGAGAGAGGTACAGTCTTTAACATGGTTGGGAAGATCATTCCACATTCTGGGTCCCTTGATTTGAAGAGCATTTCTAGTTTGATTAAGTCGTACTCTAGGAATATCAAAACTGTATTTATTTAACACTAGTGGCCTCGACGAGGACAGGAAGCCGGCGGCTTGTTGAAGGTTCTCCCCCCTCATTTGACTTGATAATTATTTAATAAACAATAATTATACCTACCAATAAACCAATATCATGTTTATATATGTTATAACTAAAATTTGTATTAATATTGTCTGCAGACATCCATCCATCAGAGCAGACAATGATGATTGTTCAAGTTTTGACACCTTACCATTTTTGTTTTCTAAAAAAAATTAATATTTTGGATTTACTTTTTTTTTTTTTTGCCTTAATTTCCAATGAGGAGGTGGACTGACAGGGGTCTTAATGCATAGGGGTTCTGTACAGCTAAATCATATTTATAATGATTTGTATGTATCTATGTATCTATGTGTATATATATATATATATATATATATAATTACACATATATATATTGTATATATTACTGATATATATTAGTATTTAGATATATAGATAGAAGCTGTACATAATTTGTTAGGTAAGGCTGTGCTAGGTTAGGTACAGTTGGATAAGGTTAGGTAGGCTTTTAAATGTCTGTACATTGGCACACAGTATTGTATTGGGTATGCTGCTATTGTATCCATTAATCTATTGGGAGCTTTTAACAGAGTAGTTTATACTCTACAGTACTTTGAAACCTGGTTGGAGTATCATCAGCAATGTCTGTGCCGTTTTGTGCATTTTTTGGCTGATTTTTAGGCTTTAAGGTTACCTGATCATTCAAGCTGTGATTCATAAGTCAGGGTGATAGAAGCCACATCCAACAGCCTGGTTGACCAGCCCAGCAACAAGGCCTGGTCAAGGACCGGGCCACAGGGATGTTGAACCCCAAAATCATTGCAAGGTAACAGCAAGGTACATTGCATGATGGTAATTTATATAAAAATTAAACGGCTCCTTATTAGCCTGTATATAAGTTTTCATATACTGTATACTATGAATTACATACAAAATATTTATTCCTTACAGTAATATAAAATACTGGTCAAGTAACTAGCTGCATTGTGTATTTATCACAGTTGTAGCACAACAGTCAATCAGTTAAAATCATTATGAGGCAATGGAGTGACCTGAACCCACATTCTGGCGAATCCCAGACACCTGCCTATATTTTATTTTATTTTGTATTTTATTGTATTTATTTTATATGCAAGAGTCCTTGCATTCTTGTAAAGCCACTAGTACGCACAGCATTTTGGGCAGGTCCTTAATCCTAATTTTCCCTGGAATATGACTTACCAAATCGTTTAACAACCAGGTACCCATTCACTGCTGGGTAAATAGAGGGTGTCCAGTTAAGGACTGGCACTCGGTCAATCCTCCCCGGCCAAGATACGACGGACTCGCCAGAACGTGGGTTCAAGCCATGCCATGACCTCAAAATGATTTGCATTGATATATCATGCCATTGTGATTTCTTTGCAAGTCAATCAGTTTATAGCTTTTTTTTTAATTACAATTTTATTTTGGTTTACAAGACAGTATAATGAGTAGTGTCAATAGATTTTGGTAGTTGGTTTCATACATGATTCTCAATCAAGGATTCTGGGTTTGATTCCTGAGTGGGACAAAAATAGTTGGGCACATTTACATTCACCTAATACCTCTGTTCACCTAGCAGTAAATATTAACCAGGGCATTAGGCAACTGTTGTGTTGTTGTATGCTGGGGAAGGTCAATTGTTTCAATTGATGATTGGTTTACTTTGTATACATCGTTACAACCATATACAGTATAGTAATGAAAGCCATATAAAAATATATATAATTTTGTTGGGCTCTTGGTGATGACATATGGCCTAATTAACACCATTTTATATTAACTTTTATTAATACTGTAGCTTATTAATAAAGTTTATTCTATTAACTTTTTAATACTCTTTAATAAAGTTAAATTGTTTGCAGTCTAACATTTATTTTTGTCTCGACAGATTATTCCCAAGTTCCATGCTGCTGTTGTGAAGTTTGACATAGCCTATCCTTATGGCAAGAAACATGAGGAATATACCAAACTGTCAGCAGCAGGAAGGGGCTCACCAGAGCTCCTCGTAGCAGAAGTTGGTGTCAAGGATTATGGTGACATGGAAAACATGGATCTTGCTGAAAGATTTGGAGTGGTAAAGGATGATTTTCCTAAGGTAAAACTTTTTGTAAGTGGTAAAGATGACCCCATAGACTTTGATGGGGAGTTTAATAGTGAAGAGTTGAAGAAATTTATTCGTCGCCACTCGGAAGTTTACATTGGTCTAGAAGGGTGCCTTGAAGCCTTCGATCGTATTGTGGATCGTTTTATGATCACTGAAAATCTGAGCGATAAAAAGGCACTTCTCAGAAAGGCTGAGGATGAATGGGACAAGTTTAAAAGCCCATCAGATCAACAGATTGCAGAAACTTATGTGAAGATTATGAGGAAGGTCCTCGAAAGAGGCGGTGACTTTATTGCTCATGAAAAAACTAGAGTAGAAGGTCTGATGAATGGACGAATTACAAAAGAGAAGAAAGAAGAGATGCAAGGACGGCTAAATATACTTAAATCTTTTGCTCGTGATGAATTGTGAGCAGCTACAACTTGGAACTGACAGTGTTTAAGGTTTCTATGTAGCAACAAGCAATTAGTCTTTAGTGTGAATTGGAATATGGAAACTTAGAGGTTGTCAGAATGTCTTGTTGTTCATGTCCTGATGAATGTAACTTTGCTAAAGATTTTATGTTAATATATTTGTTTTATGTAAATGTAGTCATTGTTATGTTAATTTAAATTGTTAGGCAGTAACTAAAGTCTTGTTTATCATTTCACAATACTGTAAAAGTCATTTATAGATTCTCAACAAAAATATTTAATTTTCAAATGATGGTCTGGACATGAAATTCTTATATTTCAAGGGCTGTACCATTGTAGGGAAACACAAAGCAGAGTATTTGAACCCTATTAGTTTCCTGTTAGTCTCTCATGTCACAATTCAGTCAAGTTGTTCAAGACAGCATCTTGGATGGCTTTTGACTAGTAATGCAATACTTTATCGAGAGTGCTGCTGATGGTGCTTCGCTATTGTGTTATTAGATGCACAGAAGTAGGAAATGTCTGGAATAGAGGTTTTTTTTATTTATATTTATCTGGTAAGTATATGTATTCAGGTATAACACCACTGGGATTCTCTTACAGGTATGGTATTCAACTTGTACTGGTATTTTCCTGTGGATATGGGACCCTAAATAAATTAATCTATTAGTCCACAATTTTTCCACCCTTCACATGTGTTTTGTATAACATAGATTCTATAGTCTTTTGGGAAAGATGATTTAATAAGAATTAGCCGAGCAGGTGCCACCCTCTCCCCATACCCACATTAAAAAATATATATTAGATGATATAATTCCACCATATCAAATGCAAACCTGTTTAGATAACTAAGCATGTAGACAGGAACTTTATTGTACAAGAGTTGAGAAAGCTTTTAGCGAGTATAATGTATTCTACAATAAAGTACGTTTCCCAATACTGTTTCTTTATAAATTTGAGGAGCTGATCTACAATTAAAAATGCAGAACAAAAATTAATTCCTTAAATACAATATAAAGGATTTCTACTGTGTTTTAATTTGTATTTTGTATTGATTGGTTTTCTTATATCAAAATTCAAATGGAATGTACATCAAAATTCTACATGATTCTGATTTTAATTTATTTATTTTAATGATAATATTTTATTTATAAGATGGGATCATAGGATCAGATTAAAGTGGTTACTTAGTAGATAAATATTTATGTAGATTATAAAAATAATAATTACATAAATATTCTGGCCATGTTTTTACTGTACCAATAAATAAAGCAAGCAGAATATTATTTATGTAACATAGGTCTAGTTGGTGCCAATGACAATTGTGTAATGATTGGTGGCAATATGACAAGTCTAATGACTGGTAGCTATATGACATGGTCTAACACACTGGTGGCAATATGTTTGGTCAAATGGACTGGTGGCAGTTTGACATGGTCTAATGGACTGGTGGCAGTTTGACATGGTCTAATGGACTGGTGGCAGTTTGACATGGTCTAATGGACTGGTGGCAGTTTGACATGGTCAAATGGACTGGTGGCAGTTTGACATGGTCTAATGGACTGGTGGCAGTTTGACATGGTCAAATGGACTGGTGGCAGTTTGACATGGTCTAATGGACTGGTGGCAGTTTGACATGGAATAACAGACTGGTGGTAGTTTAACATGGTTCTAATTGGCTGGTCACGATATAATGTTACTTTATGATCAATAACCATTGCAGTTGCCTGTGTAGTTTTCCATTCATAGCTGTATAATGTTAATTTTGTTTAGATTACATCTTCATGGTGATTTTTTACATTTCATAAAATAACTACTGTACTGTATGGTTGACTTTGATAGATATTTTTTCAGTAATTGATGCAGTAATTTGTTAAGGCATGATATAAATATTACATGCTGATGTCGTAATTGTTCCAGTATTGTATAGCTAAAATTTGGCCCACCATTAATCAACCTTGACTATCCTAGTGCCTGGTTGTAGTGCCAAAATTTCTTGTCTCTTTTGAATGCCTTATTTAATTTATCTGTAATAGATTAAAATACTGTCCATGGAATACTTTGTCTCCTGTCATATATTTCTATATTTCTACTGCTTAAAATTATTTAAGTGATAAGGAGGCAAAAAAAAAAAAAAAAGGTGATCACTAGTCACTGAATGATTAACATAACAAAGGTAGACAAACTTTGCTGTATGTGATTTATGCAGTTGAACTAAAGAGTGGTGTATGTCAATATGGAGATTCAAGATGATTCATGCCTAATATATTCACTTGTATCTGAAATTTCTCTATGGTACTGCAATGTTGTACCATCTTAAATGGTGCTACATAATCTACCCAGCTTGGCACCTTCTTTTGATAATTACTTATTATACCATCTTAAACTGGCTGAAAAGAAGGTAAATTATCTTGCCTTAGAGTAAAACATAGTACAGTACTGTATATGTATTTATCTTGAAACATTTTGGTTATGTTTGTTATTCCTCATTCAAGCACAAGTGTAGCACTGCTCAGACTGTACACTATGCTCTTAAGTATTCAATGTTATATGAATAGATACAGTTTCTTAAAATGGTTTTCAACATTTAGTGTGTAGTGTGTTCTTTACAAGGCATTTGATGCACATAAAACAGCAGGTTAATTGTAGTTGAAGTGGGAGCCAAGGTATAAGGAAAGAAACCTAGAATAAAACTGTTTGTATAAAGGCCAACACAAAAACAACAACATTCTGTTCACTGTATTAGGTTTTTTGTGAAATAACATGAAATTTTAGTATGGCTGCATGTTTATGCTAGCTTCAGTCATTGACTCAACTGAATTAATTCAGTTTCATTCCTGATGAGGACAAGACATCTGCACATATTTCCTTACACATAATTTCCCCCTGATCACCTAGTAGTAAATAGGTACCCGAGAGTTAGTTGTGGGCTGCATCCTTGGGAAGGTCAGTCGTTAGCGTAGTGGGACCTCGATAAACCTAACAGACTTGTTTATTAAGGTACACAAAATATAGCTATTCAGTTCCGTTCTCGGATTATAATCGATGTAAATCCTAGAATGTTTTGTTAAGATCCATATCACCTTGATAGATGACCAAGATCAGTAAAGAATTTAATTTACACTGAATACTGCACTAAAGCAAGAAACATCTCATGCTGAAAGATTAAATTCCTGTATTTTATAACTTAATTTCATGGGTTGCCTTGTGCAACTGAGTACATCTAAATGTTTGGGGCAGTTGACTACAGTTATTGAGCAAGATTGCAAGATAGTTGCTCAGTAAATGATAGAGGATTAGGTGAATAGAAGTGATTGCCAGATACTGTTCTGTATGTATGTTCATTATTGTGTTTTAGTTCTGAATGTTAGCAGTCATGCAACCTTGCAAGAGTTGCATAAATGTAAGCATGAATAAACAGAGGAATGTATTTCAACATTGTACACGACTCAGATTTTAATTTATTTTAATAATCATTTATTTATAAGATATACAAAGGATCTGATTAAAGTGGTTACTGAGTAGATAAATATTTATGTAGATTATAAAAATACTAATTACATAAACAGTCATATTCATATACAGTATATTTATAATCATGGGAAAAGTCTGTGTGTGTTCACACTTTTGGATGTCCACACACGAAGCTCAGAGTTCCATCATCCACAATGCTAGACAGTGGCTGTGAATCAAATGCAGGTGTAGTATTTATTCAATGTTCATTTTGTACCTATCATATTTTACATGCAATGGTAGCATAAAAGATCTTATAAAAACCTAATTGTAACTTAAAAAAATCATACAAAAACATAATTTGAACTTACTAAAATGTTATAAAAGTCCCTTGCAATCTGTGTGTACTCTAATTGCTTGCCTTTGAGCCAAGACCATAGTGTAAATGGAAGTCCTTAGTACATATTCTCTATGCTCCCATGCTCGGTTAAGAAAGGATGCCTCAGATGCCTCTTAATGCTATGCTACCTCATAATGCTTAATGCTACCTAAACATCAGACAGCTGTCCCTAACGTTATCACCACCACTTTATCCTGTTATCCATTGTTAGAGATACAGTACTGTACATTTAATTTGACCTCGGCTTTAAATATTATCTGGATGCAGGTAGACAATCCATATCCATGATTAAAATACTGTACTGTGAAAGACTTTGCTTTGGTTCTCAGGTTGGTTATTTGGTAATGGGATTTATTAATTAAAATACCTGTGATGCTTTAATAGCACTGTCATTGGTGGTGGGTAATAAGAATGTTTGGAAACTGTTGTGTGGATGATGCAAGACTACTGTAACAGTATTTAGTTAATTTGAACTTTGTTTAGTTCATACTGTATGTACCTATATTGCCGTCATGAAACTTATTATTTTCTTACATCACTAGCACGTGTCTCCAGTTTCTATTTTATAGAATAAGCAAATACAACTTGTGGCAAGAAAATATTGGTATTTTTACTGCCCTCTTTATTGAATTCAACTGTACTGTATACATGATGTATATTGGGATTTATACTTCAGGCCACGTACCATATATATAAATATACATGGCCATGTATATGGTGTATGTTGGGATTCATGTCTCAGGCTATAGCAGTGTACCAAAATTCATTTAGAAAAAATCTCTACTTAATAGCTGTCCCTATATATAGTAGTTATCAGAATAGATTTATATCAGGTCATATACAAATGATAAAATTCGAAATTATTTTATTTATTAAAGTAACTACAGTATAATATATTTAGGGGACTAGTAGTAGAGTCAGGTTTGTTCACGACTCTCAATCGGGAATTCAGAGTTCGAATCCCAGCCGGTTGGGTGCGTTTCCTGTCACCTAATGCACCTTTTCACCTAGCAGTAAATAGGTATCCGGGAATCAGCTTGTTGAGTAGCATCCTGGGTTGGGTCAGTAATTCGACCTTTGGGGGGGACCTCGATATAAGCGTATATATACACTGGCTGCCTGTCCCCAACAAAAATTAATTATTTCTACCTGAAACACTAGGCGTGTTAGTGGCATTATAAGAATGTAAGAACAATATTATGTACTCTCACACACAATATACGTCTCTGATATAAATTAATAAATTTGCGAATCGTTGTAGTTATCTGGGATTAAAATTCATTCACATATATTAAGGGTGATACGTGCCTGTTTTTAAGATATATGCTTCATTATACTTTTAGATAATATTGTTCATATTTATTTTTAATTCGATAGAGTTACAGATAGATTACAACTTTATTTGTGCGTATAATATTGTATATTGTATGTACTAGCTCTATCTATAAGTCCACCAATCTTTGTAAAAATTTCTTGTATGTATGTACCTTACCTAAATAAACATTTTTATTTATTTATTTATTTATTATATTATATTATTATATGCTTTTTAAGTAGGAACATGTTTGGAGCAAAGATTTTTGGCGGATGTAATCGAAGAACCATAACACTGCCTGGCTGGAGGAGGCGCACGTGTCTGGCCTCGCCTTATATCTTAGTTACGCTCCACGCCTGACACCTCTACACCCAGTGTAACACTTGATACCTTCTGTAACACTTGATGTAACATCTGCAAGTGTAGTACATTATACAGTGTAACACCTGATGCAGTGCAACACTTGATACAGTGCAACACATGATAGTGCCACACGTACCAGTGTAACACCTGATGCAGTGTAACACCTGCCAGTATAACAGCTGATACAGTGCCACATATGATAGTGTCACACCTACCAGTGTAACACCTGATGCAGTGTAACACCTGCCAGTATAACAGCTGATACAGTGCAACACCTGCCAGTATAACAGCTGATACAGTGCAACACCTGCCAGTATAACAGCTGATACAGTGCAACACCTACTAGTGTAACACCTGCTAGTGTAACACCTGATACTGTGCAACACCTGCCACTGAGCTTATCATTAGGAGCCTGAACAATGGTTCGCTTTGCACGGGCTGATGGGTCGAAGGGCTCGAATAAACGCATATTGGAAGAGCCAACACCGTGGTCAGAAATGATTGCACAGAGGACAACCAAGACTGAACAAGATAGTAATGAAGGATCACCCAAGAAAAAGAAACTTGAGCTTGTAGATGGAAAAGATGCTGCTGAAGCAAAGAAATTAAAAACTGAGATAAAGAAAACAGTATTGACTGAAGATAAAGCTGTAAAAGGCAAGAAAAAGAAGAAAGTAAAAGAAATTATATCTTCAGACCCCAAAAAGGAGTTTGTTATAAATTCTCAGGGTCAGCGGGTCAAGGTTTTTAAGGATGGAACAGAGAGGACGTGGTTTGACCTTCCATATGAAGACAATGAAAGAATGACTAGATATGATGGCATGTGGGTCAAACAGGAGATGGTGGAAAAACTTGATCTCCTAAAAGAAAGCCTTCGAGTAGAAGGTCTTGATGCAGTAGTGGTGAGTACAGTACTGCAATTTGTAATTAATCTTAAATAATAGAAGAATTATTTTCTTTCCTGTAGCGAACAGTAGATCATTTTAGTTACTGAGTGATGATAAGATTTAGGTTTTGCTAGTTAATCAAGCACCAAAGAGAGACAGAGACAGTGCTACAGTTATGGATCTACTCGAGACACCTTCCACAAGTTGCATTTATAACTGTAATACTGTCTCCGTCTTTATGACTTTGAGAGTTGAGTAACAAATCAAACCTAACTTATCAGCACTCAATAAAATTCTGCTGTAATGTCTGACACGCATTCTACTCTTGTTGTCTCGATACAAGTACTGTATCTGACCCATACAATCTCTTCCACTATGAAACTCACATTATTTGTCATTTACCAATTTCTCCAATGTGCTGATAATTACTAAAGAACAAATGGTCATATTTCAACAGATTAATTTCTAAATTTATTATATTAAACTAGTTTTATCAGTGTTTATATCTTGGTAATTCTTTACAGGTGATGAGAAAAATGATGCAAGCCAAAAGGAAGGCCCACAGACAACTGAGGATTGAACTGATATATGAGCAAAAGAACCTATTAAGAGAAGAGAAACAAGTGAAAAAGGAGCATGTCTCTGAAAGTCCAATAAAAATTAAGAAAAAGAAAAAGAAAAACGTTCCTTTGACTGAAAGTCCGACAAGTGAAAAAGACAGGAAAAATAAGAAAAAGGTAACCTTAACTGAAAGTCCAATAGAAAATAACAAGAAAGACAAAGAAAATACACAAAATGTCGCATTAGCAGAAAGTCCAATAAAAACTAGCAAGAAAGATAAGAAAAAAGTCGGTGTGACTGAGGAAGAAAGTATGAAAGATGATACACATGCAGTGTTTGACAATGAAGAAACTATGTCCGAGGGAGACAATTTTAAGGGTAATAGCCATCTAGAATTTGAACAGGAAGGGGATAGTTTTAAAGAAGATAATTTGAAAGGTACTGACACTCTAGTATTCGACTGTAAAGAAAATTGCATTGAGGGAGACAATTTTAAAGGCAGTAATCAAATAGTATATGAACAGGAAAACGAGAAATTTCACGGAGACACTTTTAAAGGCAGTAATCATCTAGTATTTGAACATGAAGAGGAGAACTTGCACAGAGACACTCTTAAAGGCAATAGATGTCAAATATTTGACCGTGAAGAGAATAACTTTGTAGGCAGAAATGTTAATGATAATACACACACTGTATTGGACTTCGAAGAGAGTGACTTGATGACTCAGTATGAAGGCTACTGGGTGAAGCGTGAAGCAGTTGAGAGGCTCGAGGCTGCAAAAACAGAGAAGTTGAGGAGCATACGTGAGGCAAGAGTCGATGGCAACGATTCAGAAGAACTAACATCAGCTGAACAAATACTATTCCAGCGAGTCATGAAGAAAGAGAAACGATTTGAGAATAAAAAATTACTGAGAGAAATGGCAAAATTAACAGGAAAAAGACACCTAATGACTTTTGGCACATATGGACAAAAAAGTAATGCTAAGAAACAAAGCAATGCCACATCTGCTGACAATGAAGTAGTTAGATTTGAAGGTTTCTGGGTCAAGAAGGAGTCTGCAGATAGACTAAATAAGCTAAGGGGTAAGTGCTATATGTATTGTATTTTACAAATGTTTTTATTATACATAAACATGGAATATAATTGAGGAATAAGGTAAATATAATTTAGATTTTTAAATGATAGGACTTGATTAAGAATGTGTTTGTTATGTTGAGTAAAAATGGGAAAGTTTTTGTGGAGCCTTCAGCTTTATGGACCAGTGTTGTGGACCATGTTATCTTTACTTTGTAGACCAGTCTTTTTATGGGTGATGTTTATTTTTTCTCCCATTTTCTGTTTTTGTGGAGGGTGCGGGAGGCATCAATCAGGAAGAGAGTAGATTACATTATGGTACTGTATAGACAAATTCTGAAGATACTTCAAAATTATACCCATCCATTTATCGTACATCATTTATTACATAAGATCATGTATAACCAACACAACCACATTCCACAAAAACATCCGGCTCCATATAACTAGGTGTATAGGGCTTCTCGTAGTTTGTAAAAATGGAACATTTTACTCCCACCTCACACATTACTTTCACCCGGCCTCGTTCCCAGGCTCTTCTCGTACACTGCTAACACTTAATCCCCACGTCCTCATGTGTTCGATCACCATATTGTCCATTCTGGCTTTCCTCTCCTTCACTCATATACTGCACATTTGAATGCAAACACTTCATAAGTACTGTATATCATTTATTCACTCAGATGAATTTAAATCAGGTCTTTCAATGGGCTACAGAAAATAATATGGTATTTGATGAAGATAAGTTCCTGCTCCTGCACTACAGAAAAAAATAAAATATAAAAACAGAAACTATGTACAAAACACAGTGAAATAATACCATAGAATGAAAAAGTAATGTAAAGGATTTGGGTGTACTCATGTCCGAAGACCTTACCTTTAAGGAACACAATAAAGTAGCCATCACAACTGCAAGAAAAATGACAGGTTGGATAACAAGAACCATTCAAACTAGAGATGCTATACCAATGATGATACTTTTCAAGATGCTGGTGCTCTCTAAAGTGGAATACTGCTGCACAATGACAGCCCCTTTCAAAGCCAGAGAGTGTGTAGAGATCCTTTACTGCTAGAATCCACTCGGTAAAACATCTGTTGGGACCGATGTCTAAATCTGTATTCTCTTGAGCGCAGGTGGAAAAATACATAATAATTTACATGTGGAAAATAGTAGAGGGGCTGGTCCCAAACCTGCACACAGAAATAACATCACATGAGACCAGAAGGCATGGCAGGATGTGCAGAATACCCCCGTTGAAAAGCAGCGGTGCAATGGGTACTCTTCAGAGAGAGCTCTATCAACATCAAAGGGCCGAGTCTGTTCAACACGCTTCCACTACACATAAGGGGCATAACTGGCCGACCCCTCACAGTGATCAAGAGAAAACTTATTAAACACCTCCAAAGGATACCTGATCAACCAGGCTGTGATTCATACGTCAGGCTGGGAGCATCTGCATCCTGGGACATTGAGCCCCAAAATCATTGCAAGGTAATCGCAAGGTAGCATATTCCATTTATGGTATTCCTGTCATAGTCTAGTTTTACACCCTTCTGATATTCTTATATAGTCCTCTCCCCTTGAACCCATTCATGTACAGTGAGTGGTATCTCACTTGATTGAATCACTTGGTTCCATAGCTACCTATTGCAGGAAAACCTTTTCCATATTGTCATTTTCCCTCATTTTATCCAAATCACCTTATCTTAACAGTCAAAGAAAATACAGGTTTGGAAATAGGGTTGTAAATTTATGGAACAAATTACTAGGTATGTGGGAACAAATATATGTAGGATTGCTGGATTGTTTCAAGCATAGTTAAAATATGTACAGGTATATAAATGAGTTTGGGCAGATATAAATTGGAACTGCCTCGTATTGGCCAATAGCCATTCTGCTGTTTCCTTTATTCTAAAGTAATCATGTAATTGTAATTCTCCTGTTGCATGCAGAACTCCATTTAATTGAGCTATCACTGTACTGAACAACTATGAGGACAACTCATAATCCTAGCAAATCCTTGCAGTGGTATCAAACCAATCATTATTACATCATTATGGTTGATTTGGGATCTGGGTTTATGCATACACTTAGCAGATTAACCGAAGAAGCTGAATGCCTTCAGACATGTTGAGCACATGCTCTCTCTCTAAAAATTCTTCAGCATGACAGAATCATCACATTTCAGATGAGGATCATGCCTTCTCAAAATCCTTGTACACTTTACAGACAATTACAAGTACTGGTACTTTTTTCCAGCTACCTTCAATAACATACTGTATCTGATGCCCGTAGCCTCTGCCACCATAAAACCCACCTTGTTTATTCACGATCAGTTTCTTTGTTATTTCCTGTACATTTACAATCATTTTATCAACATTTTTCCCACTATATGCCTAAAGGCTTTGTTGGTATATTCCACACTGCATTTAATTATAGTACAGTACTATATTTATGTATCATTGATAACTACGGCTTTCTCCATATTGAAGTTTTTGTTGTATTGCTGCACTTGCCTATTCCATAGATATATCTTGGTATTCTGTCTTCTGCTCTTCATCCTGAATTTAATTTTAGGATGAAATTGAATAGGTTTTGGCAGAGCAAATAAAGTTTGTTCAATAAAAATGACAAAGCAGGTTTTTTATCACGGTATTGCAGATCGGCTTACATCAGAAGGAGTTTCTAATGAAGAATTAAAAATTATAATGCAAAAGGAACGCCGTAAAGAGGAGCGCCTATTAAAAAACGAAAGGAAATTAGTTTGCTTAAAGTGTCGCCAGCCAGGTCATATGGTGTCAGCTTGTCCTGAAGCATCGGAGCAGACTGGTGAAGGACAAATAACTATTTGTTATAAAGTAAGTAACTATGGTATCATATCTACTTTTAGACATTATCATTCATGATCGTGACATTATCACTCATAGGCACATGCATGTGCACACATCATTATGGGGCCTGATAGATGAGTGGACAGTGCTCTGGACTCGTAATCCTAGGGTCCGGGTTCGATTCCCAGTGATGGCAGAAACAAATGGGCAGTTTCTTTCACCATGATGTTCCTGTTACCTAGCAGTACATGGGTACCTGGGAGTTAGACATCTGTTATGGGCTGCTTCTTGGGTATGTGTGTGTGGGGGGGGGGGGAATTAGATAGTAACAGTTGATTGATTGACAGTTGAGAGGCGGGCCGAAAGAGCAGAGCTCAACCCCCGCAAGCACAACTAGGTGAACTAGGTGAATACACACACACACACATGCAGATTTGTAAACCTCATCTTGGAGACATTCATGTATCAACACTTCAAGCAGGCCACAAGAATGAGGGAAGGGGATGTTATGTCAGAACTGGATCTAGTATTCACCAGGAAAGAAGAGGTATTTGACATCCTGTACCTTCCTCCCTTGGGAAAGAGTGATCATGTCCTCTTGGACATTAAATACGCTATGTGATATAATCTAGTAGAGAATGGAGACAGTGAAAAAGTTGTTAAACTCGATTTTAAGAGAGGACGCTATGGGGAACTTAGAATTTTTTTCTTGGGTATAATTGGACAGACTTGTTGCTAGGCAAGAAAGTAAATGAGATGTATGCCAAATTTTGCACAATATATGATGAAGGCACACAAACATTCATACCAAAACAGACATGCAGACCTAGGAAACAGGGTTGGTTCAACAGTACAGTAATTGCAAGAGGGCCAGAGATCAAAAGACACAAGCATGGGATCATTATAGAAAGAGGCCAAACCCCCAAACATACCAGCGATACAAAGATGCAAGAAACAACTACACGTCAGTAACGAGAGAGGCAGAGAGGAACTTTGAGAACGGTATAGCAGACAAATGTAAATCAGATCCAGGCTTTTTCTATTAATTCATTAAAAGTAAGCTGCAGGCAAAGGATAATATTCAGAGGTTGAAAATGGGGGACAGACACGGAAAATGAAAAGGAAATGTGTGAAACATTAAACGAAAAGTTCCAAAGTGTGTTAGTACAAAATGAGATCTTCAGAGAACCAGACACAATAAGAATTCCAGAGAACAACATAGAGCGTATAGAGGTGTCTAGAGATGAAGTGGAAAATATGCTAAAGGAGCTAAGTAAGACCAAAGTAGTAGGTCCAGATGGAGTTTCACCATGGGTTCTGAGAGAATGTGCATCTGAGCTAAGCATTCCACTTCACCTGATCTTTCAGGCATCCCTGTGTACATGAATTGTAGCATACATGTGGAAATAGGCTAACATAGTTCCAATCTACAAAAGTGGCAGCAGGGAAGACCCCCCTCAATTATAGACCTGTATCATTGACAAGTGCAATAGTGAAAGTATTGGAAAAACTAATCAAAACTAAATGGGTAGAACACCTGGAGAGAAATGATATATCAGACAGACAGTATGGTTTTCGATCTGGAAGATCCTGTGTATTGAATTTACTCAGTTTCTATGATTGAGCCACAGAGATTTTACAGGAAAGAGATGGTTGGGTTGACTGCATCTACCTGGACCTAATAAAGGTTTTTGACAGAGTTCCACATAAGAGGTTGTTCTGGAAACTAGAAAATATCGGACTGGAGAAATGTCACAAGTGGAGTACCACAGGGTTCAGTTCTTGCACCAGTGATGTTTATTGTCTACATAAATAATCTACCAGTTGGTATACAGAGTTATATGAACATGTTTGCTGATGATGCTAAGATAATAGGAAGGATAAGAAACTTAGATGATTGTCATGCCCTTCAAGATGACCTGGACAAAATAAGTATATGGAGCAGCACTTGGCAAATGGAATTTAATGTTAATAAATGCCATGTTATGGAATGTGGAATAGGAGAACATAGACCCCACACAACCTATATATTATGTGAGAAATCTTTAAAGAATTCTGATAAAGAAAGAGATCTAGGGGTGGTTCTAGATAGAAAACTGTCACTTGAACACATTAAGAATGTTGTGCGAGGAGCCTATGCCACGCTTTCTAACTTCAGAACTGCTTTTAAATACATGGATGGCGATATACTAAAGAAATTGTTCACGACTTTTGTTAGGTCAAAGCTAGAATATGCAGCGGTTGTGTGGTGCCCATATCTTAACACTTTCGCTCACCCCGCGCGCCACCCCTCGACAGGGCGATATGGGCCCTAGCGTGTCACGGAAGCGCGCGTTAATTCCGAAAAGTGTATACTCTCTTCAACTTTGTCACCTCAATTCTCCTTCTACGAGATTAAATTTGGTATCATTGTGTTCGCAATAAAATTCTCTACAGCACTAAATGCATATAAACTCCAAAAGCCCGGCTAATTACCCGCAGCAAACAGAGAAAGTGCGAACGAGTTACCTGGGAGCGCGCAAACGGGATAAAATGTTTTCACTATTTTCACTTTGGTCACCTCACGTTTTGTCCTAGGTCTTTCATTTTGGTCTCAATGGGTTCGTAATAAAATTCTCTAGAGGAACATTAGCATATAAAAAAAAAACCTGGTCACGCTCCAACCGCCGACGAGTTGAAGACGGGCCACGCGTTAGCCGTGAGTGAGCGCTCAGAGGCCTTACTGCTACACTCCCAATTCCCACCCTTTTCAAGCCTTTCTTTCGCAATTTTCTTCCTGGAAGGGCCTTGTTCATGATTACTATTCATCGTGGAGTAAGCGTAGATAGTTTCTAAAGCCGCAGTAAGAAATATAGCCACGGAAAATAGCCGAAATGTTCACACGTTTGAGATGCGAGGGGAGGCGACATTGGTCACAACAGTGGAGCAAAGACAATGGGCCCACGGCGTGTGCCAAGGCCGCCTGAGGGCCACGAGGCTCAACAAAGAAAATGGGAAGACATCGGCGCACATTTTAAAACCAGTCCCAAAAAAATAGGATAAAAACCTGATTTTTGGCGAATTTTTAAAGTGGATGACGCAATGCTGCGTCATCCCCGGCATTACCGCCAGTAAACGGATGACGCAATGCTGCGTCATCTCCGAGCGAAAGTGTTAAGAAGCACATCAACAAACTGGAAAAGGTGCAAAGATATGCTACTAAGTGGCTCCCAGAACTGAAGGGCAAGAGCCATGAGGAGAGGTTAGAGGCATTAAATATGCCAAAACTAAAAGACAGAAGAAAAAGAGGCGATATGATCACTACATATAAAATAGTAACAGGAATTGATAAAATCGATAGGGAAGATTTCCTGAAACCTGGAACTTCAAGAACAAGAGGTCATAGATTTAAACTAGGTAAACACAGATGCCGAAGAAATATAAGAAAATTCACTTTCGCAAACAGAGTGGTAGACGGTTGGAACAAGTTAGGTGAGAAGGTGGTGGAGGCCAAGACCGTCAGTAGTTTCAAAATGTTATATGACAGAGTGCTGGGAAGACGGGACACCACGAGCATAGCTCTCATCCTGTAACTACACTTAGGTAATTACACACACATTCATCAACTAGGTGAATACACACGACAAAGAGGAATTCTTAAAACCGGCAACTTCAAGAACAAGAGGTCACAAATTAAGCTAAGAATGCAAAGATGCAAAAAAATATTAAAAAGTTTTCTTTTGCAAACAGAGTGGTAGACGGTTGGAACAAGTGAGAAGGCTGTGAAAGCTCAAACTGTCAATAATTTCAAAGCATTATATGACAGAGTGCTGGGAAGACAGGATGCTATGAGCATAGCTCTCACCCTGTAATTACACTTAGTAATACTACACAATATTACACACACAGCATTGACTACAGATGAGAGGCTTCAGCTCCACAGTTTTCCAGTCTAGCAGTGCATCACTCAAAGTTTTTGAACATGTTGCAAGGAATAGTGCCATTATCCACCTGTGGAAAATTACACTTCCACACGATCCACAATTGGCAAAATTATACCTCCGCGCGATCCACAGTCGGCAAAATTACATCTCACTATCTATAGTCAGCAAAATTACACCTCCACACGATCCACAGTCAGCAAAATTACAGCGATATGTTCAACTACTGTAATTCCATAGGTGCTCATCACTCTAAAGTCCTTGTATTTTAACTTTTGTTAAAAACTTTTTCCACTTCTATAAATGCCATGTACACCATGTAATCTTTCTCACATGCCTTATATATATACTGTCTCAATGCAGATGGCTGATCTACACATTGTGACGATAATCTCCTTCAAGAGATTGAGCCTGCTCTTCCCTCCAAAATTACGTCTTCACAATTATATAAAAAGACTATGGAAGAAATGTCCAACAACGACAACACCACCAGCACCAGCAAGGCTTGCCAGGGTGAGCAGAAACGTATGCAACCAGCCACCTGTTCGAACTCCAACCACCAAACTACCCGTTGATCGCTACGACTCCGCTGATTGGTCGCCGGTCTGGCTGCACCTGCCTCGCCCCCCCCCATACTACCCGATGTCTGGGGTCGCCCCAACATCAGTCTTCAGAATGTTCCGTGCTTTCGTAGCCAGCACTCCTCCCAGCTAGACGTTAGCGTGTACTGAGAGAGGTGGTGGCTTTAAGCCAATATTCCAGCACCTCCCACTTACCTTTGTGTTGCACTTCTTGTTATTTTGCCTTAACGTAACTTTTCATTGTGTCATTTAAGTATTCTTATTATTTTGATTGATTGATTTTATTATACATATTTGTTTGTGCATTATTTTCATGTTTTGATTTATTTAACGTAATTAAAATTTCATTGTTAAAGTTTTACTTGTGTTTTGTGTGTCTTCTCCTTACCTTACCACAGACGAAGTTCCAGTTTTTCTATTTTTTTTTTATAACTATGTGACGAGGCCATACCCCTAGCCTTAAACAGCCGAACACCAACGCGTTACCGTCACAAGTTATATGGGGGCCTGTCCTAGGAGCTTCACT